TTCTGTAGAGGTTCGAGCCATAGATGATCATCAACTAACGGATGTGTCCATCAAAACCCTACCACACATTGTCTTAACCTCTGACAAGAATTGGGATCCTGGTGTTCTAGACTCCAGAGTGGATGAAATCGATCCCAAACCTGACAATGGATTGGAAGATCTAGATCCCAAAGTGGACGACATTGACAAATGGACCGACTGTATCACTGGCGATGGATTGGAAGGAGCTAAGAGCCGTTTTGATCAAGTATATATCCTCAAGAGACATTCTATTTTTGATGAAGCTATTTTTGACGAAGCCATACACTTCTTTGAAACTTTTCAGTATTCATCACCGTTTGATGAACTGTACAAGGAGTCCGAATGTACAGATACCGGAACAGATTGCCCAGGTACTGGACCTGACTATTTTGAGGACACATTAGCTATTGACATACCTTCCAAACGTCGATGTAACACAAGTTGCAAGGTTTGTTTTGGTCATGGTATTTGGCCCTGCAATGGGGAGCAACCAGACACTGGACCTCCACAAAGAAACAAGCAAGAGCACAAGACTTTGCCACTAGCTGATACTATGGTGTACAAGAACCCAATCTCAGCAGTGAAGTCTCATGAACGCAACTGGGAGCGACTACGTCAATATTTTGCGTGGTTACCTAAGCATTCTTCTCACTGTACTACTACTGATCTGGCTAGATCTCCCATGAACGCCCACCATGAACACAAATATCGTCCTCTGTCTCCACTTCCAGAGCCAATCAGTTGCTTGGTCGTCTTGGTAGGCATCGCCAAGCATGATTGTCACGACATGACCAACATATTTCTGTTTCTTGAAACAAACAACGTCTTGTTACCTTCTGACATCTGCTCTGCTCTACCACCTATCAGACTACACAAACGTCTTGTTCTACCTGATGGGGAGGAGTTAGCGCTCCCTACAATAACCAAATCAATTGATCTATCTGATGGGGAGGAGTTGACACCCCCTCGAAAAATCAAATCTAGAGACCATAAGTCCCTCAAGACCATTGTTCATTCTAGTGATGCTGAATCAGAGATAGAGGACGTTCTTTTAGAAGAAAAGGACCTCATTGGACGGACTTTCCTTCTCTCACCAGATGATGAAGGTTATGATCAACGTGCTAAGATTGTTGAGCTTAATTACAAGCACAATTGCAACACGGACATTCAGCCTGCACGCATTCAACTATGCTTGAACATTGATAAAGGCAAATATGTTATGGCTTACCATGAGATCCACAAGTGGTCAGAAACTGACAAGGACAACCCCATAGATACAAAGCTGAAGCAAGTTGTATGCCACCATCACTACATTCGACTTGAACAGCCTTCTTATTACCTGGGTCTGACTTACAGTATGACCATTGGATGGAAACATGGGGAGAATACCCCAGAACCACTGAACATCACTGGAGCCAATGAATCAGTGACCTACGCTATATACTCAAGAAATCATAACCTACCAACCAGAAAATCAAGGTTGTAAACTTCTTCAAAATATAGTGAAGGACAAGAGGAAATTCCTCTGTCCAACCAATCAAGTCAAGCTGAGATTGCTACATACTACTACACCAAAGTATATGTACTACTACAAGATCCAGAAGGAGCACAATGGTGTCCTTCAACTTGAAAAACCCCATGGCAACACCAACTGGAAACATGCCACCAAAGTCAAGATAAATCTGCTTGCAAGTTACAAGGTCCTTGTGGATATGGGGAGAGGAATCCCAACACCAAAAGATCACCAAAGTTCCAAGTCCGACATTTCAATGCCCTTAAACATTGTGACAAACACAAGCCCAGACTCCTACCTTATGGTGACTTTACCTACATACCGCCAAACAAAACAAAACCCTACTGTCTATTGACAGACCAATCGGTTGCCGGTATAATCTGTCATATGATGAATGGAACCTCAATCAATTTCTTATCTAAGGAGCAGTCAACTGATGGGACTGCAACTTATGGTTCTGAGTTTGTAGCCACTCAAACCTGTGTCAAACAGATCATGGATCTCCAACAAACCTTGAGGTACCTTGGTGTGTCGATCAGAGGTCAAAGCTACATGTCTGGTGACAATGAATCTGTCATGAACAGTTCTTCCCAACCTGAAGCTAAGCTACACAATCAACATGTTGCATTGTCATTCCACCATGTGAAAGAAGCAGTAGCAGCTAACATGCTATCTTTTATCCACATTGACAGTGCTCTCAACCCTGCTGATATTCTCAGCAAATATTGGGGTCATCAGCAAATCTGGACACTTCTACCAACTCTAATGTTCTGGTCTGGAGATACTGCTGATCAAGAGGACTAGGTCCTCACTTCGTCCCATTTGGGGAGTGACAGAATTCTAACAGGAACGGGACTTGTGACTCGACCTATAGGATTCCCAGGTTGAAGTGTAGCTTGTACGTCGCACGCTTTGCACGTGCACGAACCACTACACACCATTAATTTGGCGTAGAGAATGCTGAGTCATCAGCATTCTGCAATAATTCTAGAGATTCGGAAAAGTGATGGATCATCGCTTTTCTCACTGCATGCTTTTTACTTGAATTGATAACGATCAACTTGTAGAAACTAGTCAACTATAGGCTTATAGTCTATTTTCATTTATTTCTGTCAGAGGGTGACCGTTATTCATTTGGAATTGGACTGTTCCAACAATTGCAAGGACATATTTTTGATGTTTGTCTCTCGAATATTTGAACGTGTCGTCCAAAATAATAAAAAGCACTTCAATCAACGATTAAAAGTTCCATGGCGAAGCTGAGCACATTACTTATACTCATGGTTTTCTTTGGAGTCTGTGTTGCATCTCGCTTGAAGCTGCCCTTCCCCCATTGGAGAACATCATCCCCCTGACATTTTCTGAGTAAAACTCACACGTTTGAGTTATAACTCAACGCCGTGAGTTATAACTCAGGATTCCGTTGTGATCTGAGTTATATCTCAGAAAAAGTCACAATGACCAATCGGTCATCTGTGTCCATAAGTCCCTATTTGATAAATCATCACATAATAATATGTCATTAATAGTTAAAGGGAAATAACATAGATTTTTCGAAGCTAAAAATATAATTTTATATCTCCGGGCACGAGCACGTCAAACTTTGCGATCAGTGTCCCGAAAATACTCGGTCTGAACATTTGCCGGGTGTTCCAGATTCCTATCAAGAGGATTCCATTCCATGCCGTGCTTCGAATAGTCAGTCACCCATCCACTCTGGTTTCACACGATCCAAAAGCACCATCCATTGCATATCTTCAAATATTTCTACTCAAAATGCAAGCTGCTCTCTCTCGATTAAGCCGCCTTTCTGTTGTCGGAGCCACAGGCGTTTTCACCGTCAGCCAATGTCTTTACAATGTCGATGGAGGAGAACGAGCAGTCATGTTTGACCAACTAAGAGGCGGTGTGCGTCCAGATGTCAGCGGAGAGGGAACCCACTTTTTGATCCCAGGCATCCAGCGTCCTATCATTTTTGATGTTCGTACCAAGCCAAGAGAAATTCCTTCTGTTACTGGTACCAAGGATCTGCAGATGGTTAACATCAAGTTGCGGGTTCTATGGCGCCCCATGATTGATGAACTTCCCAAGTTGTACCGAGAGCTTGGAACTGATTTTGATGAGAGAGTCTTGCCTTCCATTGGAAATGAAGTCCTCAAGAGTGTTGTCGCACAGTACAACGCCGAAGAACTTCTCAGCAAACGCGCGGAAGTCTCGGCAAGAATCAAAAGCGAAATGATCAAGCGTGCCAAAACCTTTCACTTGGAATTCGATGATGTTGCCATCACTCACCTTACTTTTGGTAGAGAGTTCATGAACGCCATTGAAGCTAAGCAAGTGGCCTCTCAGGAGGCAGAACGTCAACAATGGGTTGTCAAGCGAGCGGAGCAGGAACGAATGGCGGTGGTAACAAGAGCGGAAGGAGAAGCTGAGGCAGCCTCCATTATTACCAAAGCCATGGAAAAGACAGGAAATGCGATTGTTGAAGTGCGCCGCATTGATGCTGCAAAGGAAATCACGGGAAAGTTGGCCAACAGTCGAAACGTTGTATACCTTCCCAACACTTCTGGATCGGGAAATGGCATTGGAGGTGGTGCCAACTTGCTTCTAGGATTAGACAAGTAATCATTCATACGAAAGTTTAGTTTGAGTTTGCTTTCTCTCTATATCGAAATGTACCAATGCTGTTCCTCAGTACCACCAGCAATCAATCCACTTTCAAGGAAACTATTTTGAGGAATCGAAAGCGTGGAATCGAACAAAAGCTTTTTCGATGTATCGTGACCAACATATTGGAACATTGCTTTGTTATGAATTGAGTGATCTACCTTGGAATTCCAAAAATATCTGTATCATGTTTTGAGCATCTTAGTACTTTGGAGGATCAATAAAATCGACGGCTGGCTTCAAAGTCACAACCACAAATGGCAGTCGGATAGGTTCCAAGAGTTCATTGAGCACTAATGTAACTCCAATCTGACCAAGTTGTGGATCAATTTTCTCTGCCAGGGCCCAATGAGATCCCGTTAGTTGTGACAAGGCATTGTCCGCTTTGGAGATTATCATCATGGCATCCAAACCCCCCAAATCGATAGAGGCATAGACGATGACTCCCATCGAGAACCAACAACACCAGTACCTGAAAGAGAATAATAATTGCGAAAATTTAAGCACTATCGGTAAGACCTGTCCAATTTCAGAGAGCACGATAGGAAGGAGCAGGAAAAGGACACAACATCCGGGCACACGTACCAAACAAATAGTGGAAATCCATAGTCCCTCATGAGAGCCTAAAGGTTTTTTAAAAAAAGGAAAGGTGACCTTACCTACGTACTGCCAAACAAAAGAAGACCCAGCTGTCTATTGACAGACCAATCGGTTGTGGGTATACTCCATCATATGTTGAATGGAACCCCAATCGGTTTCTTCTCTAAGGAGCAGTCAACTGTTGAGACTGCTACTTATGGTTCTGAGTTTGTAGCCACTCAAACCTATGTCAAACAGATCATGGATCTCCAACAGACCTTGAGGTACCTTGGTGTGCCAATCAAAGGTCAAAGCTACATGTTCGGTGACAATGAATGTGTTGTGAACAGTTCTTCCCGACCTGAAGCAAAGCTACACAAGGGGCATGTTGCATTGTTGTTCCACCGTGTTAGAGAAGCAGTAGCATGTAACATGCTATCTTTTATCCACATTGACGGTGTTCTTAACCCTGCTGATATTCTCAGCAAGCATCGGGGCCATCAGCAAATCTGGCCACTATTACGGACTCTAATGTTCTGGTCTGGTGATACTGCTGATCAAGAGGAATAGGTCCTCTCACTTTGCCCCATTTGGGGAGTGACAGAATTCTAATAGGAACGGGACTCGTGACTCGACCTATAGGATTACCAGGTTGAAGTGTAGCCTGTGCCTTGCACGCGTTGCCTGTGCGTGAACCGCTACACACCATTGATTTAACGTAGAGAATGCTGAGTCATCAGCGTTCTGCGATAATTCTAGAGATTTGCATGGAAAAGTGATGAACGATCGCTTTTCTCACTGCACGTTGTTTTACCTGAATTGATCTTTATCTTCTTGTGAAATAGCAGTCGCACTATAGGCTTTAAGTCTATTCATCTATTCTTCATTTATTTTCTGTCAAAATCTATGCAAAGAGCTCCAGATCCCAACAATCCAAATGCAACTATTGGAGTCACTACTTGCAAAGCGATGACTATCCATTGTATCTTGAAATATGGGAAGCTCCTCATTTTGGTTCAGCAAACCCATACACTAGCCTTTGGAACCATCCCAAATCTCCTTTTTATTGGTCAATTCTATCATGAAAATCCGGATCTCATGGAAGGGGACTACTACCCAATTCCTCCTCATCCTCCAAAGTTCAACAATTGCGATGGTCAAATCATGATGGAAAACATGGAAAGTTGGGCTTGTACTGCCTATGGATTCCGTGGAATCCGCCTTGATTATATTTTCCGTGAAAAATCTGCACTTCCAGTTGTTGGTGACCCTGGTTTCCTCCAAGCCGACGACGTCTCTCGCTCCCCCATTGAAGAAGAACTTGTCCAACATGCTGCCCATACTGGTGCTGTGTTCCGTTGCAACAACCAGAAATTTTGGGTTATGCTCCAAGCCGTCACTCATGAAACCGATGCTTACAATCACGTTTGTCAATTTGCTCCAACTTTGAATGGTTGAGCTGCTTACTTCGCTCTTTTTGCACAATATTGTGGAAGGGGACATTTCACCAATGAACGCCAAGCTGCTGTCCGTGTCCTTGCAACACTTCACTGGAACGGTAAAGCTCAAGGCTTCACTTGGAATAATTTATCAGTCGCCTTATTGGAGCCTTCAATGACCTTGTCTTATGATCCTGATTCCAGGCGCCAAGAAGAAACTCTGCTTACCAAGCACAGTATCACCAACTCGAATCTTTCACTCAACTTGATTCAACACTCCCAACTGCTGCTTGCCTTGACCGTTTACCGCAAGTTTTAGGGGACAGCAACAATGTTGTATGTGGCGTACACAGTTTGACAAATCCTATCTTATCTTGCTCGTCCATGGAGAACCAGTATTGAATGTGCTCGTCGCACCCTGGAGAAGACAACTCAACATGCCGTTTGTGATTGGTCGGTTGTTCAAGGGTCTTGCCGTTTTTGCCCTGTACAATATCAGTTGGAGTATCTGAGATTGAAAACAAATGTCTATGTTGATGATAAGTTTGGACGCTGGAAGTCAGCTGAAGGAAACACTTGCGTCGTGGTCTATGCTACACCAGTACAGTGGGCTCGTGCTTATCCGTTGAACAAAGAATCAGATGTTCACACAAGCCTCACATAACTATTTCGTCAGTTCAATTTTCCGCAATGTCTCATACCTGACAATTCCGAGTCACTCACTCAAGGGAAATTCCAAGAAGTTGCTAACAAAGGACAGGAGCCGATTCATCCTATGGAGCCTCATCATCCTAATCAAGAACTGACAGAAGACAGAATTTGGGAAGGAAGTTGACTTTACCATCGATTCATGCATGCAAGGAATATCCCTATTGCATTCTGGGATCGAGCTTTTATGTATGCTTTTGAGATTTGCAGTCACATGGCATTGGGACTTGCAATACAAGAAGGAGAATGTGGAGCCACAACAGTTTCTGGCAACACTGAAGATATCTCTCACCTGGTTGACTTTGCTATTTGGGATTGGTGTTGGGGCCTTTCGCCTAATCGCTCATCCAAGGATGGGAAACAACTGGCTTGGTCCAAGTCTTACTATTTGAGCAGCTCTTTGTTTTGCTGTTGCTATTGCCAATGGACAAGTACTACAACAATTGACAGTGATTCCGTTGTCAGCCAAAGAACAAAACAGTGAACCTATGGAAGAGAAAAAGAAAAAGTTTATGGAAGACCTGAAGAAGAATCTGAAGAAGAAGGCTGATGAAGTTTCTATCTTTGAAGAAAAACTTGATCGCATTTGGCATAAATACAACATGCCAATCTTTGCAATCGAAGATGGTGGTTTCCTGCAGTATGCACAGTATGAAGATCATCCACAAGAAGATCCTTGTCATAAGATTTTGAAGAGCCCCAAGTGTCAGATAATCAACTCCGTAGCTGTAATGAGAGCCTCAACGCTCTAGCTACCTCTGGAGTATACTGAGCTCGAATCTACGTCAGCTATGGATTACCTACAATAGGAACAGGTGCCAGTGATGCTGGGCTTCAACCTGCGGATGAACAGTCTCACCACTTCCTATTAGACCTTATTCTACTGCTATTCTTGCCAGAAGTGGATCAACAATGATCTTCACAAGCAGGTACAAAAATCTCTTCCGGAAGCCGTCTGCGTCAGCTCTCACCAGCTGTCGCGGCGTATAAAGCACATACGCACATGTTCTTCACGAACTAGTCACAGAGTAGATCTACCTTCAATACTTATCCATCTCTG